ATGCTCTACTTTTCGCTTTGCCTGAGTTTTAATTCTTCCTTCAGGAATTCTTTCTTTCTTTCTGATCTCTTCGCCATTTCTTTTCTTCTATTTCGCTCTCTAATTCGTACTTCTTTCGCTACTTTTTCTTTCTTTCCTAACGTAATTTGCTGAATTCAGCATTCAAACATTTCTTTTTTATTAAATTCTTCCTTTTCTTCCTATCTTTCACTCATGGCTTCAGTATTTTTTTCAGTGGTTTTCTTTCTTTCATTTTAACATAATTTTCTTACTTCAGCTTTTCATTATTTCTTTTCTATTCGTCTGTTTTCCTTTCTAACTTTTATTTCTTTATTCAGCGTTTTCTTTCTTTTCTTTTTTCCCCCTGTTTCTTTCTGTGTTAACGTAATTTGTTTTCTTCACAATTTAGCCATTTCTTTACTCCTCCTTCCAACCTTTTACTTGTTCCTTCACCGTTTTCTTTCTTTCTTTCTTTCTTTCTCAGCCTAAGTTTTTGCTTCTTCATTCCACCATTTTTTCTTTTCCCTCGAACCTTTACTTATTTCATCATCATTTTCTTTCTTATATTTTTCCTCTTTCATTTGTAAAATATTTGGCATAATTCAGAATTTCATAATTCGCACTATATTCTTCTTTTTCCTTCGTACTGAAACACTTTTCGTTCTTTCTTTCTTTCATTTTTCTTTCTTTCTTTCTTTCTTTCTTTCATTTTTCTTTCTTTATTTCTTCCGTTCTTTCTTTCTTTCTTTCATTCATTCTTTCTATCTTTCTTTCTTTCTTTCTTTCTTTCATTTTTCTTTCTTTATTTCTTTCTTTTTTCTTTCTTTCATTCTTTCTTTCTTTCTTTCTTTCTTTCTTTATTTCTTTCGTTCTTTCTTTCTTTCACTCACTTTCTGCACTACGACCTCATTTATTTACTTGTTAATTTATCTATATTCGGACTCACTCCTTCTCCCTCCTTCTTACTATACTTTCATTCTTCCTTCTCTTGTTTCTTTCTGTGTTTGTTCATATATATTTTTCCCACTCGCGTAAATTCATCACGTGACACACACACACACACACACACACACACACACACACACACACACACACACACACACACACACACAAATGATAACATAAAGAGCAAAAAGAAAAGGGTATATCAATGATAGGATGTTATACCTAAAGGTTATCAACCCAACAAAAACGGCCTTACCGACTGGACATGCACGAGACGATAAGCAACGTAGAGCCTGATCAGATGCTGCAAGCTTGGATGTGCGGGTGGTGTAATGGATAACGGCTTGGAATTTGGAATCGGAGGGCCCAGTTCCAGTTCCAGTTGGGTTCGTTCGTTACTGTTACACCCAATTACCCATGGGAAAGATATGAATTCACCTATTCTCCCACCACCTATGTGTTTATTAGTAGAAATTGTTTCAGTATATCAATATAGTCTCCGCCCAAACAAAAATATATTTTGTGTTTAAATAACCTATTATATGAACCTTCATTTTTGTAGTAAGTTTTAAAAATATGTTATCATATATATATATATATATATATATATATAGCTTTCCCTGGCGATCCGCTTAGCTGAAACCTTGGTAGGTTTGTCTGGCTCTCTAGGTTTGACTATATATATATATATATATATATATATATATATATATATATGTGTGTGTGTGTGTGTGTGTGTGTGTGTATATAAGTAATTAGACTCGTCTGGAAAAAATCTTAGGTGCTGTGGCTTGTAAATTAACAAACCAGTACCCAAGGAAAAATAAGGAATAAAAAAAGAAAGAACTAAGAACATGTAATTCAGACGAAAACGATCGTCCGGAATCCATGCTCAGAGTTCAAAGAAAAAAACCTCCAACACGATTAAAACAAAAGTAACTAAGTAAAGTGCTCAATACACTAAGTAGAGCAAATCTATCTATCTATTTATCTATCTATCTATCTATCTATCTCTCTCTCTCTATATATATATATATATATAGATATATATATATATATGATAACATAAAGAACAAAAAGGAAACGTATATCAATCTAACATGTTTCATTTTTATCAAAGCTTTGTCAGAGATTCAAACAAACCTCCGATATTTTTTATTTTGTTTCGGTCAGTTCGAATTGCTCACACACTTGTCACGTACATTAAAACCGTAGATAATTCTCTCTATATATATATATATGTAAGTTTATGAATATTCTTGTATTCGTAAGTGGGCATCGGATGGTAATGTGTATTCGTAAATGTGTATGTAGTCGGAGTTCTAATGACGTCACTTACAGCGCGATGCCACATGATTCTAATTTAGGGCTGATCACATTAAGCATGTACTCTTTGTATTCGATAGTTGCGTTAGAATCTTTAAGAATGGATTAAAGAATGATGACGATATAATGCAATATTTTAGGCATGCGTTTATATTTTGTAATAATGCTAGTACTAAATTATTTTTAAAATGTTATTTGTAATTCTTCACCTTCTTTGGAAATGTTCTTT